GAGCTCATATTGAAGCTTCTGCTTGTGGATTGCTTATTTATTGGCTAACTTTTAGTTATTTGGATCTAGGACCTTTTTGGAATGTAATGAGGTGAAAGCATTGGTGAGTATTGGTTGTTGTTATAACTTACTATCCGAAGAAGGCGTCAAAGAGGCTGATAGTCGATGTGGCTTTCCAGTGAGTACAGGTGCTAAATCTGCATGTTTACAACTAGGAAAAAGTGCCCGTGATCTTGCCTGTCAGGTAGCATCCGTTCGGCATATCTTCTATTGCTATTTTAGATGTTAGATTGAATTTAAATTGGTACCCACTTATATTTTTTTGGAAGTTCAAGTAGCAGATTGGACATGTAAGTTTATTTTGCATTTCTGATCCATCGCCAAAATGAGTAATCTGTATCATCTTGTTGAATGTCTCAATCTTGATAGTCAATGTCTTGGTTTCGCATAAATGATATCTCACAATCAGCTAGTATTTTGCTTGATGTTATTGAGTGAAGCGATTGCATCTCAATCACCCTTAGTTTATTTTCCCTTTTGTGTATATTTTTTGCAACCATGTTTCATATCCCGGTCTGTTTGATTAACTTTGCTTATTTTGCTGATCTTTATTTAATCCATTAGAGTGCAGAAAGATGGAGAGGTTTGGGGGAAGCTGTTGGTCTCCACAACTTTGAGCTTCATGTATTTCGTGCTGCCTTTCAGATGGTACACAACATACCTTGATCTATTTATTTATATAAGGTTTGCCAATTAGGCACATTGATTGATTAAGGATGTGCCAAGGTTAGGCCTTGCTAATATTCAGGAAAATTGTGAACTTACTAAGTATTTGACTTGACCTGAGCTAAATATGCAATATAGTTACCATTTTTGCAGAATAATTCCTCTGACCAATGTCTTTCCATGAAGGTACTTCTTCGGAACTATCCAGAAGTTATAACTAGAAGCCCTTCAATAGGTCGTCAAGGAAAGGCTTTGCGTCGCCAACATCATCGCAGGATCCTGGAGTCTAATGTAGATATTACGGAGTCTTTACCTCAGAAAAATTGTGAGCCTTCTATTTCTTACATCAAGTGGTCCAACGAGAAGAATATAGCTTATTTCTTATTGCTGATTTACTGTATAGACGCTAGGAATATTAAATTTGATATTGATTATTACCTGTAGAAGTTTTTAATTATAGCATTATGTTCATTTCTTGCTTCAGTTATTATTTAAGTGTAATGTAATTGACCACGTAATAGCTGTGAGTCACTATTTCAAAGAAGTCAAGGACCAAGTGATATCTTCTGAGATGGATTCTGCTGTAATATATTGGAATTATTCAACTTCCACACACTAAGATATGGATGTTATTTGTCAACATCAATATCAGCTTTCATCCTTATAGTTGGCTGCTTTATGCGTTTACACGAGCATTACAGGTTACGCCAGAGGACATTCTATATGTTTTATTGATTGTTCATGTAGGTTCAACATCGGCTACGAATTACTTGCTTAGAGATCCATCTCCATGTCCACAGTCTTCATATGGAGAGTGTAGTGCTGTTGATAGATATTCCATGTTTGTAAAATTCTGCAAATCTGGATTAGATCGTCTTGGTCTCCATGATTCCCAGGATATTGAATTTTCAAAGGAGTGGAAGGAAGCAGAAGCATTTTCAGTGAGTTCTTCGTTCCAGTCCACAATTTTGATACCTGTAACATCTATTTTACGTCAGAATGAGTTGATATTTTCAATGGCATCTTCCTGGTGACTTGCGGCATGAAAGTGTTGTAAAAAACTGCCATGTGTTCTTTGTTTGTCTTCCAGATGTGGATTAACGCTGATCTTTGTTTGGAGATAAGAAGTAAATTCCTTTTTTATGGTCAATATGCTTCTGCTGTTCTGTTTCTGGAAGGAAAAAATTAATGCCAATTTATTGCTATGTTTAATACCACAAGTGTTACACAAGTATTTGGGTCCTAGCTGAGATAAGACCAGCTAACTGGTGGTGTTTAAATAATCTTGAGATGCTCTTTTCGAGTTGGTGTACTGTTCCTGAACTACTAATACTGTTATGGAAACATATAACTGGACAATGTTCCATATCAAGCGTTTATATTTCTTTTATTACTACATAAGATTTACTATATAGTTCAGCTTTTCTGTATCTTTCTAAAGAAGCAACTCTGCATTACTCAACTGCAGGAACTTGTTGGACCTTATTGGACACTTCGGGCTTCTTTAGGCCCTGTTTTGGAGACACTCTTGCTTCTTGACAGGTTACTGTTTCTCCAGGAGCAGGGCGATGTGCTT